CCTCAGATTCGCCAGAGTTTCTGACTCTGGAGCGCCAGGCCAGTTCGAGCTTGAGTCAGAATAGGATTGAAGAGAGCCTGTCACGAAAGCTTATGGAGCGGGGCTTGAGTTAAGTCTTGTCTAAATCTCTCCTGCCTGTATGTATGATCTTGAGCTCACCTTGTACATGATCGCTGCCACAGGGCCCGTGAGTAGTTCGTGTAGCTTCGCAGTGAAAAGGGAACGACCACCAATTTCAAACTGGCAGCAGAGCTGGTACCCGTAGGGACCAGCCATCTTAGGATCGTGGGACGTGGGTGAGGCCTTGATCAACCCATTTGGATTCCCCTCTGAATTTTCCGTGCCAATGATCAATCTTTACAATGGGCGTAGCAGGTCTACGTTTTCATCATGGCATTGCCTTGAGTACCCCCAGAAAACTTGCAGTGGCTCGTACATTTATAGTGGTGATCCCAGTGCGTTTCACCATTGGGAGTTTCGAACCGCAATGCGGTAGAAGCTGCGAGAAGACGAGGTTCGTGCCAAGACGAAATCGACGGTGAAGCGCGACAAGTCAGTTGGCGATTCCAACACCCGATGTCAGGTGGTCGAGGCAGCCAGCCCGACCAGAGCAGCTGCAGCCGCACCCGCCTTCCGAGGACGGGCCTATGGCCACAACACCCGCAGAGGGCAGCGGATCTGCTACCAGGCCGAGGACTCGGGATCTGTCAAGAGCGCAAAAGATTCGCTCCCCGTGGGCAAAGCAACGTCCTCGCCGTTAAGGCGAGGACGGAAATGGCACATCGCATCCTAGAAGGATTTCGAGATGAAGCCTTCGAGCTGGTGGGACAGCGTCAAGGAGCCCTCGCAAGCCAGGGGGGCAAGAGCATGGTATCATACGTCAGCAGACGACGAGCTCGGTGGAATTTACTCAAGTCGCTAGATTCCAGCATCGAGCTGTCTGAGCCGATGCGTGTCGAATTGTTTCTCGAACTGTCTGGGCTTAATCGCCAGAAGGCCTTGGTGATTAAAGCGCGCGCACCTCAGACATTCGCAACTGTGGAGCACCACAGCGGTGTGCACTTGCGTGAAGGCCGCACCTTTGGTGGATCCAGGACCACCGTCGCACAGGCAAAGGTATTAGCCCCAGCGCTGCGGCAGAGGTAAACGCCGAGGTTTTTACCAGGCGCACCTATGAAGCCGAGGACGAGGCGCAGCCGTACTACGACGACGGCTGCAGGAAGAAGAGGACGTTGAGGAGTACCTGGGGGCGAGATGGATTACGAATCGCATTCCAGCAGCTGAAAAGGAGGAGGAAGAGAGCTACGAGGACTACGAACTCGAGGAAGAATAGGCGATTGCCTTTCATGCCTTGTAGGAGCTCGATCCGGAGGACGCCAAGAGCAGACACGGCATTCAGCTGCAGCTTGCCGCGCGCAATGCGATGGGCAAAGCTGAAGTGCGGCAGGACAAGTCGCGCGGCAAGGGCAAAGGAAAAAGGAAAGGTAGTGCGGTCACATCTTACCCTTTAAGAGAATCGCGATAAAATGCGCTTTCTAAAGGCAGGCCAAATCGAAGTGCCTGGGATGCGGTGCAATAGGGCACTGGTCCGATGACCCCAGTGCACAGTTCCTACCATTCTTATCCACAAAGGAAAAAGCCTTGCGGGCAAAGATCGAAAAGCATACCATCATAGCGCCGCGGTGTGATGAGGCTGGAGGCAATTTACCTGTTATTTGGCAACGACGCCGACCCCAGGGGCACATGCTTAGCGAGCTCTGTGCCGCTGGTTCGAAAAGTGCCCCGGCAAGGCCATGAGCGCGGGACCGTCTGTGGCTTGCTGTGCTGGGCATATCGTCCCACGCCGCCATTGCCCGATGCAGAAGCTTTGCAAGGTTCGCGAGGTGCCATGACATCCTGCAAAGCATGCGCGCCAAATCACCATTGCACTTACACCGGTCCATCACCATGCTGCTGCAGTGCCTCCACACTAACCGCTAACAGCCGGGATGCCTCTAGCGCAAGAACACTAGATCAACTTGCAGCGCGGTGCGACGTGCCACCCTCTGTGCTGTGGTGCATCCTTTGCTGTCTGAACTCGATGCCTCATGACGTCCGGCGGATGACGAGCTGAAAACCCACAAAACAAAAACAAGAAATCGCTTGTGGCTGTCGCTGTGAGTCTGAACTCCACGGCGGTTAACTCGACTGGCGATGGTCTGACCCACTAGGTTCAGAGCAACTGGTTGACAACACATATATAGATCATGTCTTGCCATATTCGACAAACCTTCATCTCCCCGACTGTGACACGATCTGGATGTCCTCTGGTTGACTCTGCTGAATTCTGGAGTGCTGTAGCAGCTGGCATTTGGAGACGTTTACGCAACTGGACAAACTGTGGACATGAGTGACCAGCCAGAAAATCGCAAAAACACACAACGAAAGCTGACCTCTGGCCCCGTGATTCAGGTCTGAAGATGCTCGTGTGCAGAGATGGGATCCTGGCTTGTAGATTCTGGAATATCCTAAGTCTGGGCGCGCGTTGTCTTGGACCAAACGAAGTGAGAGTACCTTGACAGCCTGATATGCTGACAATGCCGGTGCTGAATTACGAATGTGGTTGCTGCATGTGGAGACTTCTGCGAATTTGTGAATCCGCACTGCACTCGCTTGGTCAATGGAATTTATTTTGCCAGTGGGAGCGCATCTTTTGCATGAGGCAGCATAGTGGCCAACCTGCTTGACGATGTTCCCTGCGCGACTGCGAGGAGTGTGCTGTAATGCAGAGGGGCTGAAGTGTGTGGATGGAAGGCCCAGACTGTGGTCTTTCAGGTCAGCGGCGAGTGAGTGTGGACCGGAACGAGGTTTGTGGAACGATAGTAGCGTGAGAGAGTTAGTGTTAACGAGGCCCCGACTAATGCGTTGGGAAGAGCCAAAGTGCTGTCGTCGGTACTGAAATCCTCGCTGTGGTTCGTCCGAGAGTGAGTGCTGAATTCGAAATGTGCAGAGACAGCAGAGACAGCTTTGTGAGTGATTCAGATTGCACGTTTGCATATTCCAAACTGAGTCGGCATTTTGCTGGCTTACGGGAGTGAGTTCTTGAAGACTGACGGCTTGCACTTAATAGTGATGTGAGCTTTCACCAAGCTTGAATTTGGATGCCAAACTGAGCTGTCTTGGGTCTTTGCTGTGAGCTGTTTTACCTGTTGAGTATCTTCGCTGTGAACTGTTTTACCTGTTGAGTCTGCACAGGTGTAGCCCTGAACAACTCAGGACTAATGGAGCTGTCTGATGAGGGTTGCGTCCGATTGTGAATCATTTGGGCAACACCCCGCCTCTACAAAATGTTGAGGTGGAATTAACCATACTATGACAAACTGTCATCCTGCTTCGTATACTCAGCCATGCAAGGGGCAAAATGTACCCGGCATCTGGCTTAAAAGCATTCGTCGCTCCACTCGTTTGCTTCTCCGTGGGGCGTCATCAGCCTTGGACAATACCTAGTTGGAATCATGCCAAAGACCATCACTCGCCCCATAACTTGAGATGTAGATTTGCTGGCTTTGATTTGTAGATGAGCTCCGTGTAACGAGGCTTGTTAAGTTTCTGAGTTGTGGGCAAGTCGGTGAAATGGCACCTACTCACACATAGGGCCTGTGGTTGGGTTTGTGATCAGAAACAAGCCGGCTGAGCTTTGGTTGTCCATGGCCTGCCTGTTTGCCTGCCAAGTGCCAAAATGCGAGTGTGCACAGGACTGGAACATTGTCCAGCAGAGGGGCCGCGACTGGGCTGAAGAAAGGACAGACTGGCAGAACTAACAGTAATTAACATGAGGCATCGTACTTGCCACATTGAGGTGGGACCCGAAGCTCCGAAAAGGCGGCCACTTTGGTGTTTGCCTCAGATACAGCTAGAAAGCAAAATGCCAAGGGACGCAAAGGCACGCCCTGGCATGCGTACTGCTTGCAGGACCCATCCATGCTTTGGCTTTCAGCCCAGATGTTGCTTGGAAAGCACAGGAGTATTAGCTCTTTTTTCCCCCCCCGGCCCCTGTCAGTCAAGCTACCAAAGCTTTGGTCACTGTGCCAGGCCAGGATTTGCGCTAGCGGCTCTGAGGACGGAAACGTCCGGCTTAGGGAGTTTTCTTAAAGCGGAAAGCTGGCAGTGGAAAGGGTCTGGAGTTTGCTGCGTGCGCGAGATGCGAGTGTGGCGGGAGTCGCGATGCGGGCATTTTTAAGCCTGACTAGAACAATGAGCTGAACAAGGGAAGACAGAAAGCAATATTGAGACTGATCAGATGATGGCAAGACGCGCGGAAACGAATAGGCATGCCGAATTCTTACATGCTTGGCTGAATCCAAGACTGGATGTTTGCAAGAAGCTCGCCCGGCCCTTTGACAGCGAGGTCCTGATGCAGCAACGACGGGGGGAGCAGGCAGCATTCGGGGAGATTCGGGGTCAATCGCAGGATCAACGCGGCAGAAAGGAAGACCAAGACCGGTATCAAGTGTGTGAACCACAATTGCAGAATCAGGAAGGATATGAACTCCATCCAGCAAGGGGACATTCCCTGTCAACAGCGCTGGGAGGGGGCCTGTCGTGCGGGCCTGCGCCGGACTAAAGACTCGCCATGTAGCGGAGCAAGGGGCCGTTGTTATGCTTTCCACGGACACCGAGCTGAAGGCACGCAATGTCGGGAAGCCACCCCAACAAAGGGAAACTATGGAAGACTACATGGTGCGGGAAAGGGGCCGAGCCGCCGATGAATTGGAATATGTGACAGGCTGATTGCTATCAGACATCGCCTGTCGTCCGGATCCACCCTTACTGGCATCTACCCAGGGTCCCAGGACAGGCTCGACCCAGAATGCTCTGCTCGTACAACTGAGGTTTGTGTTCTGCTGTCCTGACCCCGATGTGGAAGCGCTGTGCGTTGCTGTTGTCGAAATCCTACATTGATACCCGAAGCGTGTCAGGTCTCGGGCTTGGCAGGAGTCAAATAGAATCAAGAAATCTTGATGGTCACGTGGTGCCGGAGTGTCTGGCCGTCCCACCTCCCTCTGCCAAGGAAGAACCATCCCTGCATTGGTTTCCCTTTCTGCACCCGGCCACAGTCGCTGCCATCTGCATTTGTGGTGACTGCGGCCGCAGTGGCAAAGAGACGAGTGGCGTGGTCGAGTCGACTTTGGAGGGGTGGGAAGGCAGTTGGCTCAGAGACTGCCTCTCCCTCTGGCGTGGACGTTATGGAGGTGACACTGGAAACGGATCAGCCAGAAGCCGTGATGGACCTGCTGCTGGGCTTTGGAGCGAGTTCAGCCTCGGCGATGGCCGCCAAAACGCAGCAGGCAGCGCTACGAGTTGTATGTGCGCAATTCGAGGGCTCTTTTGACACTCTAAGCAAGCTGGATCTGGAACAGGTAGGATGCATCATCCAGGCAGCATTGGATTTGCCCAGAAAGCCTCGTCTAACCGGCCGCTTGCTGGGTGGTACTTGGAGCAAGTACTTCCCCTTATCCGAGAGCGTCGAAGTCCGCTTGCCTTGCCACGCCGGACCAAGAGGCGGAACGTTGAGCGAAACTGGGAGGCGCGTGCTGCGACTGGAAGGTGGTGTGGCTTTTGGGGCAGGCAGGGCACGTGCGCGGCAAAAAGCACTTTCTGATTCCTTTTGACCAATGACCAATCCCAGGCGATCATCCGACTACAAGAGGTGCGGCAGCTTTCCTGGAGGCCACATTGACGAAAGCTCGTATCCAAGCTAGCAGCTGGCAGCTGTTACTGTTGGGGCTTTCCATTGCAGTCAGCAGGCCGCAAGTAGGCCTGGGCTTTAGTATCTGCCCAAGGCCCACTGAGCCTTCGATTTTTGGACTACGGCACTGGATCCGGAGTTCTGGCGATCTGTGTTGCGTGCCCTCTATGTCAGCACTGTTTTGAAATGTGCTAGGTGTCATTCCCGAAGGTTTACATAAAGTGGGCTCTTTTGTTGAGGTTGTCTTGTTTGCATGTAGGACTTACGAACATAATAAGATGCGACAAGATGCTGCCGCCTTTGATAGCACGGTGTAGTGTGCGTTATCAGGTCAAGCTACACGGTGTCACATGTTTCGAGTTAGGCAGAAAGAACTTGCACTAGAGGCTTGGATGCTGGGAGCGAGGCACACGCTCGGCGTCGACATCGACAAAACTGCGATTGCATCTGCTGCACGAAGCCTTGCATTAAATGACACAGTCGCGCCTTTCGATGCGGCGGGCACCATTGACTTCGAGCACGTGCCCACCTGCCCCGAGCGCGCTACCAAGCAAATTGTAGAGGTGGTAGAGGCCTGCGGAGCTGGTCAGCGTCTGGTTGATTCCACACACATTTCCCGTGAGGAAGCAAGTTTGATGTGCACTGACCACTTGCTGCAGGAGGGTGGAGCTTTCGACGTTGTCGTGGCAAACATCTTGTGCGAACCGCTCCTGCAGCTGGTGGAAACTCTTTCTTGCGCCACCGCGCCTGCTGGAAAGCTTTGCTTGTCTGGTGTGCGCAGCCTACCAGACCTGAGTGCCGTTGAGGCGCTTCAAGAGGCATATTCCGAGCATTTCGAGAACTTTCAGATATCAGATGCTGGTGCCGGATGGTGCGTCATAACAGCCGAAAAGAGCGTTTTGCGGTTCAATTAACCCTGCAAGTATAAGATCAGTGAAATCCAATGACCGGCAAGGCTGGTTTTGGAAGCCCGGTTTCTGTTTAGGGGTCATTGCCGGGTTTGTGTCTGCTGTGACCCGGCTCAGATCTCGAGTAGAATTAACCCGCAACTGTGCTTCCCACATGCCGTGCCCCACCTTCGAGTGATATCGCAAGACAACTGTGAGTGGGCAGGCCGGGATTTTGATCTTTTTATCAGAAGCTTCAGACCGAACATGCTGTGCGTTTGCGACTGCGCAGCACAGGAGCGCAGAATCGCTGTTGATGACATGTCATGACTATGAGCCTCTTCGTTTGTTTTCAGAGTGTGTGGAAGCACACAGCCTCTTGAGAATGTCTTCATGTTGCGCTGCAGTCCTGGCTCGAAGTGAAGGGCCGAGCAGGCATCGCACTGGCATAGCAATCGGTAGGGAAAGCTGGGTTCGGTAGGTGTCTCCCATGGGGCAGGTGACGAGCCGCTGCATGGAAAGACTGCCCAAAATTTGTCAGAGGAAAGAAACGGGAAACGTCGCAGATGCTCAGGCTTTTCAGTGCAGATCCGCAGAGGGTGAAATCACCGTCGAGAGAGGGAAGTCAAATTCAACTAATTCAGCAGTTCTAGCCAGAGATGAGGATGACATAACAGAGACGACACCGTTCCCCATCGACCGACTAAAGGTACCTTTGACACGAAGATCAGACGGATCTTCCGGGCCTTGCGGGTCAAGTGGTGCAACATCGTCAACCTCGAAGCAGTTGCCTGACCTGGCCCAGCCATTGCAAAGCATAGAGGTCACTTCCGGTCGTTTCGTTTACAACTTGGACCTTCATGGCAAGTCGGCGAAAGGACAGAACCTCAGAAGCTACTTCGAGGCTTGCAGTGAGCACCGAAAGCTGCAGGTGACGACATCTTGTTTTGCTGCTTGGCGCAAGAACAAGAAAGTCAATGGCTTTGCAAAGATCATCCCGGTCGCGAAGGAAGGGAGTTGGTCACAGCTCGCAGACGTAGATGACACCAGACCTTGTCGGGTGTTCTTCTTCGATGACAATTTGGAGTTTGGGGGGAAGGAAACCAGTCCTGGCATCTGCAACCTCAGAGACATGGCAACAGGCCATTTCGTGGAGTTTGCAGAGGGGCAGAATGACTTCGTTCAAGAGCGCTTCGCGAGACATACAATTGTGCAGCATAGCAAGTTGTGGCGAACAGTCCTCGTCAAAGCCAACATCTTAGATGCCATGGAAGACAAGGCGTACTTTGCCAAGCTCATAGCGAAATTTTCGGAGCCATCTGACCGTTTGGTGGTTTTCATGGATGTCAATGCGACTATAGTATGCAATGACACCGTGCAGGGCAAGGGCTTGGCAGTCACCCTGCTGGGCACGATGTTCGAACTTATGGAACTCAGACCCAATCCTCCAGGTTTCACATTGAAGTGGGCAGGTCTCAACGAGATTCGGGTGGAAAAAACCCAGACGCTCAAGGCGCTTCTCAAAACCATGACTGCAGACGACCACGAGGCATACACCAAGTTCTGGCAAGAGGAGAATTGCTGGTCTTTCCTGTCTCACGTTTTGCAGCATGGAGAAGTCCGATGGGTCACCGGTACAGAACCCATGACGCTCGACGCAACCAAGAGCCTTTTCAGTTCCTACATGCACACAGTTCCTTCCGCATTGGACAAGGATGGCATCACAAATAGCTGGTTTCATGTGTATGCGAGCACACTGAAAGACAGGCATTCGACCATTTTGAACTCTTTTGGTGTGGACACCAGAAAAGTGACGCTAGCCACGGTCAGTGACGAGACGGATGTGCTCCACATCGCGATTAACCATGACATGTGGGATGAGAGAGATGTTAAAAAGTACTCTGACCAGTTTCAGTAGACAACACCCTCGCCAAGATGGGAGTGTGCTTCAAGTCAACATATTTCCCAATTCGCGCAGGACTGGAGCAATCCAATCCCTTGCAGTCAGCTTCCAGAAAAACACTTCCATCAGTGCGACCCATTTTCCACTACCCACTGTGTTCAACGTTTTGTTGGGCGCATTGTCCATGCGATGTGCGAGTGTGTGTGTGTGTGTGTATGTGCGTTTCTAGCTACGGTCAAGTAGCGCGATTCTAAACTGGCATGCTGTGCGAGCTTGTGTAGATGCTAGACAAGTCTAGTACGTGGGCAAAATCATGGACAGGCTTCCTGTACTCCTGATGCCTGTGCAAGCGGAGAATTTTCGTGCAAAAAGGCATCGGCTAGAATTCATACCTGGTTTACACACATGCAGGCAAGGAGTGGAACAGAGACCAAAGTGCGACATTGCCAAGCACTTCAGTTTCACAACAGACTATGACATATAAATGCGAAATACCATTCCGGTGCTGCAGCGCGAGAGAAGCTTCAGTCGGCAGTCATGTTATGTGACGAGTTTATAGTGCAATGGATGGTATCTCTCGAGCTGTGAGCATCTTCTCCAAGTGCTATTATAGAGATCTCACCCGACCGAAGTGTTCACACGGTGGACAACACCGTAGTCAAAGCATTTTGTGCTCAGAAGAGCAGCGAAGAGTAATTGCCAAGCTGTTTCAATCGAAACAACGACGAACTGATGTAGACTTGCCTTGTGTTTTGCGATCAAAAAGATAGTGTGACTATCAGGCGCTGTATCAGATGATCAGGGTGTGGCAGCAATGTCGGGCTAGACTGACAGAGAGGTAATTCGGCGTCGAGCTGTTTGTATATCTTGCTGTGTGGGGGCTCTGCCGACTCTGACCAGGCTCGCCAGCTCAATGATGTTCTGGCGAAAGTGAGAGCAGCGCTATGCAGCGCTTCAACCTTAATAATGATTTATTATGATGGGTGCTTGCGGGTGAAACCCGACAGCTTATCCACACCCAGACGAGTTTCTTGGACGAAGTTTCAAGATCCTTTCGTTGAATCCGCGAAACTGAATACGCACCGAGGACCGAGACCTCGTCTGGCTTGTCCGAGTTGCGAGAGCGTAATGTGGTCGTACCCAGACTCGGATGCAGTGCACGCCCCTGCTGTTTGGAGGTGATGTTGTCATATCACGTGCTGTCTCGTTGATTGAGTGCGGAGCAAGCAAAAGCATGTTTTTCAGCACCTGCTTACTTTAGGCTAGACCGAAGATCAATGTCGATGTTTAAGATGACCAGTACCCGCATCTAAATTCTCGGGAACCATGCCAGTCAAAACTCTAACTTTTCTCATGTAAACCGATTTGCGCCATGGTGGACACTCTCACTACATGTGTGTTATTGTGCGTTGAAAAAGGACAGCGCAGCTGAATGCGTAAGCGTCTTCAGGAGGTGCCGGAGCCATCGCTACCAGACAGCCCTGCCAAACGATGTCGAAGCGAGGACGGCGAAGATGCCTTTTGGGATGATGTTGGAAAGGCGGATGATACTTCTCGAGGCGAGCCTCTGCTCCCTGACGATCTCTTTACGCAGAACAGTAGAGGTGACCTCCTCCTCAAGAACGCCGCCTGGTCTGGACCGCTTGGAAGAAAGACCGGACCGATTCTGAAGATTACTGGCGCTTCACAGTTATCTCTGAAGGACAACCGTTTGCTCATTGGTGGCGGCCCCGTTGTTCAGAAGGCAGTCAAAATGTATGCAGACATTGTGATCCGTGCCGAGGTGCCGACAAGATATAATAGCTGCGAAATGGTGCGACTGTTCGTGTCTGAAGACTTTGCCTCCTCTTTCTGTGAGAAAGAAGCAGATATTGAGCGCTCCGAAGGCGTTTTGGTCCTGACTGAGCGTGGGATCCAGCAGACAGAACTCCAAGCGGGAGCTGCGGTCGAAGTCCGCAGCCAGAACGGTCACTGGAGAATGGCAACCGTATGCAAGCTTCCTGCGTCACAGTGCGCCGTCATACGACATAGCTCTGACCTTCACGAAGAGACTGTTCCGCTTCGTCGACTGCGTAGCGCCAGATCCATCTCCATATTTGGCAAAGCTCAACACCGCTTGGCTGCTGCACTGCGCATTGCAGCCTCATTCGAAGACATGTCTGCTGGAGCACTCGCATCTCTACGAGAAAACCCTTTTTTGCAAGGCAGGCTGGTGGGAGTCATCTCGGAGAAGCTGGCAGTGCGACCGGACGTCATGTGGCGACTGAACAAGAGCCCATACCTCGCCAGGATCAAAAGTGCGACAGGATGCAGCATCATGTTCTTCAGCGGCCCATCTGCAGAGAACGCAGCTTCCAAGAGCAAGTCGGTCCCGTACGTTCTTGTGGCTGGTACTCTGGAGGAACGTTGGAAAGGTCTCCAGATCGTCAAAACAATCGCGACTGGCATGCACGAAAGGAGGCATCCAGCGTTGCCACGTTCGTTGTTTGGAGACTCGCGAACCGTCAGAATCCCGAAAGACATGCTATCAGTAGTGGTGGGCAAGAACATGAGTGCGATGATGGGGACGATGCGATCCACAACAACCGTCATTTTGCCTCTGAAGGAAAACAAAAACGACAAAGGCATAGAATTACTGGATACGCTCATGTTGGAAGAGGGCGCCGAAGGAAGCAGCTGTGAAATCGCAATCTTGGGCGAACCTCTTTGCAGAGCTATTGCTGAACTGAAAGTACGAGCCTTGGTTGAGAAGCACCATCCGGGATACACTGAACAGGACTGAAGGTAGCTGGGTGCTAGCCGCTTCTTGCGAGTGCATCCGAAGTCTATTTACATATACATATATGTATATAAGAGTCTGCATGTGTGCGTGTACATACATGCAGTACATGCATACACAAGAAGAACAAACACATCTCTCTCTCTCTCTCGATATATATATATATATATATATATATATATTTTTATACATATATATATATACATATATATATATATACATATATATACATATATATACACACATGTATAACCGCATCCCGCCCCCATAGTATCCCGGTGTAAGACTGCTTGTCCTTTGGCAGAAGCAATCCGCGTTGAGTCCTGTCGCAGGAGGACTCGAGCTTCTCGGAGGCCTTGCGAATCACAGAAATACGTTCAATGCTAGGTTATGACACAAGCAGCAAGAACGCACGGAAACAGCAATGCCGGCGTCTTGTCTTGCTTGCGCAGATGGACGCTGGTCTCGGTGTCGAGCAGCTGCTGCTCGAAACAGAGCTAGAGCAGATGGACGCCTGTTTGCAAGTCTTGGGGTTGAGAGCCTGAAATCCGGCTGCTGCCGCGGAGGGTGCAATCAGCTGCGTTCAACACGAGGAAGAAAGCATGCAGATTGGAAAACAGCAACCGATCTGCATCGAGACTCAGTGGACTCAGGCTGTTGCCGCAATGTTTCGCATGTTTGTGTCAGGCTTGCTGGTGCTTCCGGCTGCTGTGTTGAGATTGCGGCAAGCCGTGCTTTCTTCGCGGGTAACAAGAAGCACCGTGACCGATGCAGGGAGTACCTGGCCTGGGTTCTCTGGCAGCATTCACCGGTAACACAGTAGCATATGGCCATATGGCCACAGGGTTCAGGCCGTTTTTGCCGGCCCACTGAGCTGTCAGATTCCGTTGGTTCTTTGCCAAAAACACTTGTCCGCCTCAAGTGTCGAACACATGCGCACACGCACGTACGTGGAATCCTCTCCGACTATATTCTTCTTGTCATGTACTACTCTGTGCAGAGATTTCAATTTTTTCAACCCCCTCCCCCAGGCCCATGCCTCTTCCAGCCGCATTTGTATGCTTACGTCACCACATCCGAGCTTTGAATGGTGGAGGCAGAAATAAGTCAACGTCTTCTGCGGCAAATTGCTTCGTGATCCACAACGGAAACCACCACAACGGACATTTGATGATGTATGGCCGTCGCTTGTGTTGCGGTTACATGTGAAGATCCCGAAGTATTCATTCGTCTTGAAGGTTCCCCTCATGTTTGGACAGATGCGAAAGTCTATTTGGCCTCAGGCATTGTTTCTCTGACACGAAGGAAAGGCTTCCGAACAGGTAGAACACGTCATTTAGCATCCTCGCTCCATCGTCAGGAGAACCTTACTTGGTGCAGCGCAACGCCCTTCAGCAAATCCTGCGCTATGATCGTTGTTTCTAAGGGACACAACACCCCATCCACATCCATGCACGCATTGGCAGACGACTGTCCACAAACACAAACAAGCACGCCACACCATGCTTTGCATGCGCTTGCACAAGATAGTGGACACCCCAGGCAGTCCATTTCACATGCGAGGTGAATTCTTCTTTACACTCTCGCATCAGTGGCCTGGGCAAGAGAAGCGACGTGATGCTCCGACCGAAGGCCCTTGCATCCACGCACTCAGAGCTTGGATTCAATCTCGAACTTGTGGGTCCATCTGTGGGAGATAGTGTGGAGGTGATTCATATGCCATATGATGTGGCAGGTGCCGTCTGCCATTGCAGAGTTGCCTTGGCTGCAGCGGAAGCTGGCGAAGCTCGCCGTGGATTGCAGTGCATTGGCAACTGGGATCTGGTGCTAGATCGGAAGGATTCTAACTTGCAACGTACTTCGGGCGCAGGTTAGGGTTGTTTTTTGGTTCGGTGGCGGCAGCGGTGGTGGTGGTGGTGGTGGTGGTCAATAGAGGGTTGGGCAAGAGGCACGGATGTGAGGGGTAGTGCGTACGGTTGTTCGCCCGAATTTATTTCAACCGCTGCATCTTGGTGGCCCGAGCCAAGTGCCAACGGAGGTAGCAAGACAGACTTGATCAGGCGTTCGACAGCATCGTCAGGGCAATACGACATTGCCTCGGCTTTAGATAAAGGGACCAAGCTCAGCTCAATCCAATGAGAAAGTGCCTCGGGGGACCCGTTTGAGATTTTCTTGAAAGTCAGTCAAAGCATGAAGATTTCGCCAGCACTTTCCGGGATGCACTGTCAGGCACTGTGACCCAGATTGAGTTCGAACAATCACGTAGGACCACTGAAAAAGCCCCTGCTATGATGTTGCCGTTTAGATTGGGGGCCGTGAAGGCTACGTAGCATGTGTTCCTGTACATGATGTGATGTGGAGCGACGGGGACGCAGCGTGCGGTTCAGGCCTTTTTCGACATGGAGAACGAAGAGAGAGGCTGTGCTCGGTTACCATTGTACAAAACGCCGCCTTCTGTGAGTCAACCGCGACAGGTAGTGACACAAGGCGTCTCATATTCGTTGGATGTGCTTTGGCGGAGCGCCCCAGCAGCTTTGCCAAAAGCGGTGCAAGGTGAGTTTATCCGACGGGACTTGCATGATCGCTCAGGACTAGTGACAACACTTCGTGCAGAAGCGAATACCTTTATCGACAAGGCGAAGTTCTACAAGGATGGGATACCGGAATCTACCCTCTCACCTTTCATAGCTCACAATATTGGAGCAGATGTGCCACGTCCGGCTGCGGGTAGCACATCGGAGGACAAGGACTGGTCCTTGGAAGAATGCAATGAGGCTCGCTTCTTGTGCGGCGGCGATGGATGCTCATGTTGGCAAAGCTTAGCCAGACAGTGATGGGCAGTAGTATGGCAAACCCAGCACCTCGAAGCAGGAGCCTGCAGAAACTGCATGCTACAAAGTGCAAGAGTGGGCAGAAGCAGTTTGGCTAGCCTGTCGCGAACTGTGAGATTCAGCAACGCTTCAAATGTTAAAGTACCGCTGCAAGAAGCCACTCTTTCAAAGAACATCCCTTGACTGATGTCCTTACTTTTATTTGTAGCCGAGATCTCCAGTTTACATCCGGCTGTATGATTGCCAGGCTGCTTTGTGCATACTGTGCTCGCACACTCGGTCCCCTAACTGCGCACCAGCCATACCAGCCAACCACATGGTTAGGGGTTCCCAAGCCCAGTGGCGAAAAAAGGGTTAGGGTTCGGCTGATCGGCGTAGCACATATTGGCAAAAGGCACACACGCTGTTTGTGTATTGTTTTTTCTGAGCTGGATTCCTTGGGGCTCATCGTTCACTCCACCTGGATCTGTGAAACAAAACTGTGGACTGCGAGGCAGAGCAAACAGAGAAGCTTGCGAGGAAAGAAGAAAGCAAGGACAGCAAGAAAAGTTGCTTGAGCTGACTTGTGGCAATCCTTGTCGAACGGAACTGATTCCGCCTCGCCCCTTTCGCAGATATTGTTCGAGCGCATGGCAGAGGCCGGTCCCGGAAGTCATAAGGCCTTCAGGTTCAGCCGGTTCAGCTTCGGCGTGTGCGGAGACAGGGGAAGGTATTGGAATTGGAGCCACTTCAGTCATGTATCCTGGTCTCCAGAGACAACATCCTGACCTTGGGGGCAAGGCTGGGGCCTTCATGGCCAGGATAGCGGAAAAGGCGAACAAGGCAAAGGACAACGCGGCAAAGCAAAGGGATCAGATGGAGCAGGCAAAGGTAAGGCTTCCAAGGAAGACAAGGAGTGCCCCTTCGCAAGTACGGGGGACGGGGAGCCCTTGATAAGGGTCTAAGGTTATTTTGGGAAGTGTAGGCCCCCTAGAACCCTGCGTTGGTCGGTGTGTTTTTTAATATAGTCTTTTCTGTGGTGCATGTGTACATCATTGGTGGGTGAATCTGCTCCAGACCGTGATTTCCGGCAGCTTGAAGTTTGAGGACAAAGTGGAGCGCTGCCTGCCTTGTGCGAGTGTGAGCGTCGAAACCCCCGATCCTACGTTAGGTTCCTTATGAGTCTGACAGTGCCATTAGCTGGTGATTCTCTTCAGGAGGGGCACGCGGAAGCCAGCGACAAAACGGAGCAGGATGGAATTGAGGCGACATGTTCTGCACGGCCTTCAGCAGAATCTGTGCTTGCCTGGGAAGATCATGGCCAGGGAGCACCAGAAGACCCCGGTCGACAAAAGGGCAGAGTCAAAGGCAAGGGCAAAGGCAAGGGGAGTGGCAAGGCCGACGGCAAGGGTCACAACAAAGGCCGGGTTCCGTTTGGTACGTCCCGGCCCCGAAATGTTTGCAAGTACAGTACAGCCGCGAGACAGATTTGGGAGATGGGAGACGTCGCCATTCGGTCAGCCTTGAAACTTAAGCCTAAGACAAAGCTGACATCTGTGAAGCTTTTGCTTCAGACAACACACGTGAAGCCTTGGTTTGCCGTCTTACTGAAGAGTGAAGCCTTGTGTGCCAGAGGCCATTGTAGAAGTTGTCCCCTCGGTAGATGTACAACTCAACTGGCCAGCTGATCAGTTCCAGATGGTCGTAGGAGGCTGTGTTGGTTGGGGTTGAAAGGAGAAGGTGGACAGGGGCTTGGATTTCGCGTACTGCTCGAGGGAGGAACGTCCTGGAACGAGAATTGTGAACATGTGCTGCTCAATTTTGATTTCTCGGAAGAAGAGCCAGGGGAAGCCACAACAACCTCCCAGCATTCTTATCGACTCTGATTTATCCCACCGGTTGGCTGTACCGTTTTTTGCAGCTGGGGCGGCCCGCACAATGCTGTGTGCTTGCAGGTAAAATTATCTTTGCTGCCGGGGAGCCGCCAACTAGCGACGAGACTGAGTGACTGTACTGGATTGATGGTGTTGACCCAGTGATGTGCAGACTTTTATCCTTGATGTGTGGGAAGCAAAGGTCGCGAATGGACACTGGTCTCAATGCCACTCACATCGCCGCAGAAGATGTCGCAATGCCAGCCAGGGTTGCTGCGGCACAACCATGCACTCCGGCTTTCAGCAACAGCAATTCTGGCCTGTCGACTGCGACTGGGCGAGTTGATGCAGGTGATGCTGTGGGTTCAGCCGCAGCCGCACGACAATTTACTCCTGGCCCGCAGAGACCACGTGGAGTACCACCCCCTGCCAGCGCTGCTGTGGCAACTTCTGGGAGTGTGCAGGACGCTGACGCCACGGCTTTCGCTCCTGCACCCCCGAAAACACCGGCAGTGAATGCCAGTGCAGCGAGAACTGATTCCGTCGCACCTCCCCAAACCCCGGCACCAGGGTTGGCACACGAGGAGCCTGTAGCCCCCCCTAGAACACCAGCACCCTCAGCCCAGCAGGCAGCATGTGTCGCCCCGCCTCGAACGCCAGCGTTGCCTCAGAGCTTTGCCCGAGACGGATTCGTCGCCCCTCCTGCAACACCTGCTATAATGTCGATTGCTCCCCCGAAAACACCAGGCCTTCCTCGAGAGTCAATTCCTCCCCCAAGCACTCCAGCACCAGCTCCGCCACCAGGGGCGGCCAGGGCGGAGGGGAGATCATTGCTCGTGGAGCCAGGTGTGGCTCCGCCGAGAACACCTGCATTGCTCTTTGGCCACGCGCGCGCCGAGAGTGTGGCTCCACCGAAAACCCCTGCAGTCCCGAGTGCACGTGTGGAGCCCGTAGCGTTGCCAAAAACGCCAGCATTGCCAACTTCTTCTGTGGCTCTTCCAAAGACTCCAGCTGTCCCGGGAGCCCGTGTGAATCCGGTTTCTGTGGCACCACCGAAAACACCGGCGGTTGCTGCAGCGATGGTTCCGGGACCGCAGACTCCAGGCCCCTGTCGAGCTGCAGCTTCCCCGTTGACGCAGGCGCCAGCACCACAACTGCCGCACACCCCGACCAGTCCTGCCTTGGCTGCAGATAGTCCAATGCGACTTGGAGGCAGTTATGGGCTCATGTCAATTCCTTTGTCTCCGTGCATACGGCAAAGGATTTAAGTGAGACAGAGGGAGCGCCAGAGCGACAGAGAGAGGCAGCATGCGTTGGAAGGTAGAAAGAGGTGCCGAAGGAACAGGCCGGACTTACCCCCTCCACTTAGCTTTGCAATGCTTTGTAGCTGCAGGGATGGTTCTGTTAGCGAAAGTTAACCGTTAGAGCCAGAGCCGTCTCGGGGACGGACGCCAGGGGGCAAAGGGAAGCCAAACGCGGACGCAAGACGAGCAGAAGAGCACGAAGCAATAAAACAACCACAACCTTTTGGAAGATGAAAACCCAAAGTCAGGCAACGGGGGCATCAAGGAGAGCGGTGCTGCAAGCTTATCCGGCCACGCTGACTCGATGCTGAAAACGCACCTGCTAGGCAAGAAAAGTAGAGGTGGAAGAAGGACGGGGGTGCAAGGAATGACAACGAGCGAAGGGAGGGAGCAAGATGCCCGTTCGGAGGGACACACGCGCGCAAACTCCGGCCACTCAGCCGAGGAAATGAAGGAACCCCCTTCCGGACCCCTCTAACATGACCAAAAAAATCGGAAACAAAAACGCGATGAAGGGTGGCACCACCAGCCCGTCGGCGGATTCAGCATTGTTGTCCTGGCCGGAATCGCAGAAGCTCGGAAAAAGATGCGTACGGTTGGTGGGAAGTGCATGTGGGGGATAGTTCCGTGCGGGGAAGGTGTCTAGGGGATGGGGTGGGACCACGTGTGATGGACATTTGCGGGCTATTTGTGCCTTCAACGGCTCCAGAAACATCACGAAAAAGCATGCTAAAATTTCGCAGTCTGCACAGTCCTGTTACATACAACAAGAAGGTCTCCAAGCATCCGAGGGCACGCCGAGGCGATCAGGGCGTGGAGGTGAGGAAGGGTGCGGAGGTGCTAAGGCACGGCGCAGGCGCTGGGGGTGCGGAGGGGATTGCGGAGGAGCGCTGAAGGGGCTCAGGGCGCCGGGGGCGCGCCCAAAGGTGCATCGAGTCTCCCTGCCATGATCCTATAGTGCCCCAAATATAGATAGTAGTCTTCCTCTTCAGAGTTCTCGATCCGAGCGGTATGACATGCAAGCCTCCAAACCCAAACCTGATGATCAAGGCTGGCCCCGACTTAAATTATTTTGGCACCCTGGTCATACGTGCCAAATAGACGCCGCACCGGAACATAAAGATCAATGGTTCGCTCCTACTCTAAGTCCAACACCTCAAGCTTCACATCATCAAGCCCCAACGCCCAGAGCTCAAAAGGCCCGAAAAGCTTTTCTTGTGCACATAGATCCGAAACTGTGCGAGAAGGGAAGCCATCAAATCCCCAAAGCCCAGAACCCAAAATCCAGACCTCAAAAAAACTTTTCAACCGGGCTGGGCCGAGCAGCTTTCGGTTTTGGATGATACGGCTGTGGGCTCAGAGTTTGGGCTTTCGGGGCCTCAAGACGTTTCCGACGCTTGAAACCGTTTTGCAGAGTGTTCTTTCGGTTTTCGGTTTTGCAGAGTTTCATGCGAGGCTCGCCAGTGAAACAAACCTGTTTTTCCCGAACGCCGAAACTTCTGCAGTTTCGGTATACCCACTCCCAGTCTCAAGGCGTTACGGACACTGGGGGGGTGGAAGCCTTCTTCCTCAACTTTGCGCGGTTCCATCAACTAAGATTCCTTCAACCGCGCTTCCTACCCTGTTCGCCGCGTCCATCAACCCAGATAGTGTGGATTCAGTCAACCCCCATCTCCCGCTTCCATCAAGGCAGACTGTGCTGATTCCGTCACTCCGCCCCCCCCCGCTTCCGTCAACGCTACACTGTTGTCAACGCATCTCGGCCGTTCTTTTGCCAGTCTCATTGGATAACGCAGCCCTTACCCTTAAAGAATGAGGGTCGCAAGAATCCGCGTGTCCGTGTTAGAGTGAGTCCTTGTGGTTGGGGTATTTAGCACGCGTGTCCGTAGTTGGAGCGACTTTTTGTGTATGGGTTGAACGAAGCAGTTGTTTGGGTTGAAGGACTCCCTGGGCCGTGGTTGAGTGAACCTGCGTGCCGGGGTTGACAGAACCAGGTTTTGGGGTGGAATGAATCCGCGTTTTCGGATTGACAGAATCCGCGGGCACGGCGAAAAGTTGAAGGAATCCGCGAGGAGCTCCACGCTGGGAGACTCAGAGCCGCTCAGGCGTGAGAGCGCCCGGGACCCACCCCCAAAACCCGGGACATCCCGCAACATCCCGGGGCCCAGCCCTCTGTGCAACCCCTCGGGTCCCGAGATGTCCGAAGCTTCGTAGGTTGGAGGCACGCGGGTTCCGTCAAACTCGAAGTTGTCAAAGTCCTTTGACCATTCGAGCTCGACTGGCCGCTGCATCGGCCATGGCTGACTTCGATCGTCTCTGCAAAGTTTGAAAAGATCGAATGTTCGAAGAATTGGTTCGAAAGGTTTTAGCTTGACACTTCGAAAGTTTGAAAGCTCGAAAGTTGCAAATGCCTGAGTGGCTTGAGAGTCGGCTCGCGGCTCGCCGTTGAGGTCGAGAGGTTGCGAGTTCGAAGGTTTTAGAGTCCGAAAGTTGGAGAGTTTGAGTGTTCGAAGGTGGAAATTCAACCGGTTGAAGGTCTGACATGTGCCAAGTTCGAAGCTTCGACAGTCTGCTGAGTTCCGAGTTTGAAAGTTTGAGAGTTCGAAAGCTTTAAACTTCGAAGGTACAGAAGGTTGAACGTGTGCAGGGTGAACGTGTGCAGGGTGATCTGACATCTGAAACCTGCCCCTTAGGAGGCGATGGGGCCATGATGGCAGCGAATCTCCTCTCTCAAAGTCGGCCCCCTCTGCCCTGTATCTTAAACCTGGCCCCTCATTGGGCAAGTTCGGTTGATTTCATACTGTAATTCCCCCAGCAGGCGAGGGCGGTTGGTCTCTTGTCTGTCCATGTTTGAAAACCGCCCCGTCATTCGGCGATGGCCGTTGAATGCCGTTGATCCCATGTCGTGTACTCGCCCTCTCATTAGGCGATGGCGGTTGCTGTCATGAATTAAATCAGTCAGTCCATGGCGGTTGGTGCCATGTTGTAGATTCGCCCCCGTCGGCGGTTGATTTCGTACATCAAGCCCCCCCCAGGCGATAGCCCTGGATCTCATATCTTGCAGCTGCTCCCTCAGTATGCCTGGCGGTGGAGTTCGAAAGTTCAACACATCTCCAATATCCCCCTCGTTAGACGAGCGGTTGATCCCACATCCTAGCCCAGCCCTTCATTGGGCGAGATCGGTTGATCTCATCACGAAGGCTCCCCCGGTGGAGCTTCGTTAATACTTGACAACGTGAGCATTCTAGGCACCCATGGCTGGCCAGTATTACCGCGTTTTTGGGCAAGATGTCAAGTCTTCCAGTGACTTCTTGCGGCAGGGTTTCGTAAGGAGCATCTTCTGATGCTAGCCCGAACAGATTGAATTGTCACATACTGTGGAGCCTAGTCGCCCTAGTTGTTCGTTTCATACATCTGCATCTGTGCATATGCAGATGTACACCCATGTATGTATGTGTGCGTTTGATTACATGCACACATCTCTGTCTGCAGGTACATATGCATGTACACATACCTATGTACACATCTGTGTGTATCCGCTTGTCTGTTTGTTTGTCTGTGATATGTTTGCATGTCTGTCTCTCCGAGTCGTTTTTCAGCAGCCCTGTCCACCTTTGAGCTTTCGTCCCGGTCCGCTGCTCTCCAGTAATCCGGTCCCTCCACTTGCTAGGCGATGGCGGTTGATCCCATATCAGTCGTTGCCGGCGATAGCGGTTGATTGTATTTATCGATGCCGCAGCCTCGTTGCACGATGGCGCTTGATCGCTTATTTCGAACCCTGAGTAGGCGAACGCGGTCCCATATCTTAAGCCCGGCCCCTCGCTAGGCGAGTACGGTTGAATCCTGTCCTTTCATTAGATGGCCCGTATCTGCCCATATCTTAAACCCGGTGATAGCTGCCGGGATGGACACCCGAAAAGGCGGGCAGCCCTTAGGCTGGATCCATGCCAGGCAAGGAGAAGTCAGAGGCAGAAAAGGAGGGAGTGAAGGCAACCGGAGAGGGTGTACAGGTCGAGGCCGCACACCCCCAGCGACAGAACGAAAGGACAAGAGACAGAGAAGGAGAGGCAGCAGCGCCAATGATCTGAAAGACAAGAGAAAGTCGGAGTGTTGTTTCAATGGCTGACACATAGCGAGCAAGTAGGTCGAAGCCCGGGACAACAACTGACTCCTTAAGAACAGCCTCTCTTGGGATTGTGTATCAGAAGCCGTGGCGAGCTACGGGCCAAGCGAAGGGCAAACGGTCCAATTACGATTGAATGACCGGCTAGCTGTGTTTCTTGCATCATTCCGTGGAGTGCTCGTCACCTTTGACCGATGCAGTATGGAGGTTTGTCTTAGTTCTTCTGCGATGCTAAACCCGTAAATCCCAGCACCGGGTATGAGTAGGACCAGGAAGAACAGGCCGAACCGGACTTGCTGTTGGAAGATATCTTGCAAAAGAGGCAGCCCACATGCCTTGCCCTTTGGGGAAAAAGGTTTGTATTTACCGTGACGAATGGAGAAACACCAAGCAAGAATCCCCTTGTACGTCTCTGCATAGATGTAGCAGCAATGCCTGGATTTAGGCAACTGCAGATGCTGTGTTTTCTGCTTGTTGGCGTCACATCCCAAATGAATACAACAGGATTTGGCATGTGTCTCTTTTCAGGTTGCGCTCAGCTGCTGGTTTCGCCAAGCCGACGCCGAAGACATCGCTGGCACCACCGCCCTCGGAGCCTGTCGATATGGTTGTGCCCAAAACGCCAGCGCGCATAGCGTCGACCATGGTGCCCAAGACACCAGCAGCAATAAGCAGAAGCAGACATTCTGCTGCAGGTGCGTCTGCGCCAGCACCGCAGACCCCTGCAGCCTTGAAGGCAATGTCGGAGAGGCATGCCCAACCAAAAACACCAGTGGCACTGACTCGAA